TCTCTCTCTCTCTCTCTCTCTCTCAAAATAAAATATCAAAAATGAAAAATATTTAAATAAAAACAATAAAAATCTCAAACATCTGTTTGTAATTCTTTTCGCTTATTTTCCACTTTGAATGAAAGGGAATATCCCTTAAACTCGGAAATAAATGTCCAAAAATAGGGGCAAACAATCAAAATCACTGCCCACTCGAGGAACGCCGATATGACGTGGGGCAAATAACCAGGCTGACTCTCACTCCAGCGCATCCTGATGTTAATATTCATAAAGTGAAACGGATTATCTAGCTCCAACAGCGACCAGCCCATCATCACCATCATCACCAATATCAGGGTAAACGATACGACGGCCAGGAATCGCCGGAACCGCCCCGTCCAGGGCCGGCCCCGCGCGTAGGCTATCTCACTCTGGAGGCCCATATCGAGCATAATCAATGAGAAACCGATACAGGCGTGAAAGCCATGAACAACAAGCACAATAATGCCCTCGGAGGTGCGAAAGGAGGCGGTGCCCATTAGTGCCCACCCGAACACCAGCCCTATTACGAGTGACCACTTGTTATACTGTGTCAGTCGGTGTGCCGTCACTTTCGCGTCGTTGTCGTAGTTGTTGTTATTGTAGTTAATGTTAGCGGTGTTTGACTGTATGTATGCCTTTAGGCCGCCGTGTCTTATGGCGCTGAATAGAAATACCATGGTGGCCTCCATGGCCATCACCATGGTGAATATGTTGGCTTCGGGCGCGATGGCACCCAGGTCGCTCACAAATTGCATCAAGGGCTCGCTGTGGCCCTGGTGCACTGATAAGCCCCATCTATTGATTAAGATAAAAATAATTAATATTAGTTATAGACTATAACTTATAGTATAGTTTGTGACACAAACTTTGTGTATTATTTAGTTAGCAAATAAATTACAAATATAGAACTTTTAATAATTATTTAATATAAGTTTTATTTTAATTTTATAATGTATTTAATATTTTATACTTACATTACAAACGCAAAGACAACAATATTAAATCCCATAATAAAGGGAAGGAAATGTAGAAAACGTTTCATTTTGTTGAGAGATATGAACTAATTATGTAATATATGCACAAACTATTACCACTATCACATTTATATGATTTATTATTATATTTAAATATAGTTATTTAGATTCAATCAAACATCAATTAAACGTATTTTAAACATTAAATTATATTTACAAAAATATAAATATATAATTTTATTATTAAAACAGTTAATACATGTTAAAACTATTATTTATTACAACATAACATGGCTTAACGTTCGCATCCAACGTATGTTTACAGTTATAAAACAAGTGAGAGTTTAAGCGAAAAACAAATTAAAAGCATTTTAAGGTTAACTACGTTAAATTACGTAAACCACTGGTTGTGATAGTTGTATGTGAAGGCCCTCGAGGTAATTATCCATTGAAAAATGCTTATTAAACCCATAGTGAAACTTATCCTGTGTTTTGTGTATTGATAAATATATGCTATGATGTGTTTTTTTTTAAAATATTGTCAAGGTAAGTTGATTGTAGTGTTTGTCTCATTTTATTGCGATGATATAATTATATTACTCTCGCAAATATGTAATTTACATACTTGTAGAATATCACAATAGGGTAAAATATTTGAATACCTCTCTCGCGTTCGCCAATTGGTCTGAGAG